TGTGATGGGGGCTCCAGAACTGGACCCAGTAAAGGTGATTTTGTCACTGTATTCACTCCACCGCAGGTGTCTGCCATGCGCTGTGGCATCCTGCCCATCTCCCGCGCCGCCTTGCTCTTGGGAGATGTCGCCTACTTCGATTTCCACGGGGAGGTGGAGGATGAAAGCGATCGAGTCGAGCTTCAAAAATCCCTCGGTCCCACCTGCAAGGTGAAGGGGACAAGGGGGGGGATGTGGTGGTGGGGATGAGGGTCACTGCATGTCCCTTGTCCTGCTGACCTTTCCCCCCCCTACCTCTCTCTGTGCTGGGTGCTGTAGATCTTGGTGCTGCGTAACCACGGGGTGCTGGCGCTGGGTGACACGGCTGAGGAGGCCTTCTACAGCGTCTTCCATCTGCAGGCAGCCTGCGAGATCCAGGTGAGTGCTCAGCACCTGCACTGAGCTGTGTACGATCGCAGCTGCCAGGGTGGTGCCTGGGGGAATAAGCACTGAGTTGTGTACGGTCTCAGCTGCCAGCACGGTGCCCTGAGGGCCTGTGCTGAGCTGTGTCAGGTCTCTGCTGCCAGCACCACGCCCCAGGACTCTGCACTGAGCTGTGTCAGGTCTCTGCTGCCAGCACCACGCCCCAGGACTCTGCACTGAGCTGTGCCAGGTCTCAGTCACCAGCACTGTGCCCTGGGAGTCTGTGCTGAGCTGTCTACGGTCTCAGCTGCCAGCACGGTGCCCTGGGGGCCTGCATCATGCTGTGCCAGGTCTCTGCCACCAACACAGTGTCCCAGGAGCTTACACTGAGCTGTGCCAGGTCTCTGCTGCCAGTACGGTGCCCTGGGACCATGCACTGAGCTGTGCCAGGTCTCTGTCACCAGCGCTGTGCCCTGGCAGGATGGTGCCCTGGGACCCTGCACTGAGCTGTGCTGGGTCTTTGCTGACAATGTGGTGCACCAGGAGAGTGCACTGAGCTGTGTCAGGTCTCAGTCACCAGCACTGTGCCCTGGGAGCCTGCACTGAGCTGTGTACGGTCTCAGCTGCCAAGGTGGTGCCTGGGGGAATAAGCACTGAGCTGTGTACAGGTCTCTTCTGCCAACACAGTGCCCTGGGACCATGCACTGAGCTGTGCTGGGTCTTTGCTGCCAGCTCCGTGCCCCAGGACTCTGCACTGACCTGCGCCAGGTCTCTGTCACCAGCACTGTGTCCCAGAGCGTGCACTGAGCTGTGTACGGTCTCAGCTGGCAGCACAGTGCCCTGGGGGCCTGCGTTGTGCTGTGCCAGGTCTCTGCCACCAGCACGGTGCCCTGGGAGCCTGCACTGAGCTGTGTACAGTCTCAGCTGCCAGCACTGTGCCCTGGGACCATGCACTGAGCTGTGTACGGTCTCTGCTGCCAGCACCGTGCCCTGGGACCATGCACTGAGCTGTGCTGGGTCTTTGCTGCCAGTGTGGTGCACCAGGAGCATGCACTGAGCTGTGCCAGGTCTCAGTCACCAGCACTGTGTCCCAGAGCGTGCACTGAGCTGTGTACGGTCTCAGCTGGCAGCACAGTGCCCTGGGGGCCTGCGTTGTGCTGTGCCAGGTCTCTGCCACCAGCACGGTGCCCTGGGACCATGCACTGAGCTGTGTACGGTCTCTGCTGGCAGCACAGTGCCCTGGGGGCCTGCGTTGTGCTGTGCCAGGTCTCTGCCACCAGCACGGTGCCCTGGGACCATGCACTGAGCTGTGTACGGTCTCTGCTGGCAGCACAGTGCCCTGGGGGCCTGCGTTGTGCTGTGCCAGGTCTCTGCCACCAGCACGGTGCCCTGGGACCATGCACTGAGCTGTGTACGGTCTCTGCTGGCAGCACAGTGCCCTGGGGGCCTGCGTTGTGCTGTGCCAGGTCTCTGCCACCAGCACGGTGCCCTGGGACCATGCACTGAGCTGTGTACGGTCTCTGCTGGCAGCACAGTGCCCTGGGGGCCTGCGTTGTGCTGTGCCAGGTCTCTGCCACCAGCACGGTGCCCTGGGACCATGCACTGAGCTGTGCCAGGTCTCTGCCCCCAGCACGGTGCCCAGGTTGGGACAGAGCAGCACATCTCCACAGCCACAGGAGCCAAGAGTGGGGCTGGGACCACCCTGCTGCTCCCCATCCAGCATCATCATGTGTCTCTCGGGGCTGGGTTGCAGGTGTCGGCGCTGGCCAGCGCGGGCGGCGCGGAGAACCTGATCGTGCTGGAGCGTGCCAAGCACCGGCCCCACGAGGTGGGCTCCGTGCGCTGGGCTGGCAGCACCTTCGGGCCCATGCAGAAGAGTCGCTTGGGCGAGCACGAATTCGAAGCCCTGATGAGGATGTTGGACAACCTGGTGAGCACCAGCTGGCGCCAAAATATAGTGACCTCCCCCCAAAACACCCAAAAATATCTCTCTTTTTTTTTTTAATCCTTATATTATTCCCAACTGAGCATTTTCTGCCTTTCCAGGGTTACCGCACGGGCTACACCTACCGCTACCCCTTCGTGCAGGAGAAGAGCAAACCCAAAAGTGACGTGCTCATCCCTGCCACAGTGACAGCCTTTGTCTTCGAGGAGGAGGCTGCTCCCGTCCCGGCGCTGAGGCAGCACGCCCAGAAGCAGCAGAAGGAGAAGACGCGGTGGCTCAACACTCCCAACACCTACATGAGGGTCAATGTGGCTGAGGAGCAACAGGGCAGTGCTGGCAGCCAGAAGACGAAGACGACGGTGAGGGGTTGTGGTGGCATCTCAAGGGGGTGTTGGGTTAATTTGGGAAGGGGTCCCAGGGGACCGAGTACCACAAGCTTTATTGGGGTATTTATCTCTCCTCTATACAAGATGCATAGAGGTCTCCTCTCTCCACAACATGCATTTATTGGGGTCTCCTCTCTCCATGATGTGTATTTATTGGGGTCTCCTCTCTCCATGACATATATTTACTGGGGTCTCCTCTCTCTATGATGTGTATTTATTGGGGTCTCTTCTCTGTGACCCACAGTGGTTGAAAGCAGACGAGGTGGAAAAAGGCAGCAGCGGGACCCCCATCCGAATCGAGAACCCCAACCAGTTCGTTCCCCTCTACACAGACCCGCAGGAGGTGCTGGAGATGAGGAACAAGGTATGGTCCCACCTCAAAAGCTTTCAGATGTGGGTGCAGGGGTCTTGGAAGACCCCAGGGTGGTGGGGGAGCCTTTGTCCCCATCCTCACTCTGTGTCTCACCCACAGATCCGGGAACAAAACCGTCAGGATGTGAAATCAGCCGGGCCCCAGTCACAGCTCTTGGCCAGTGTCATCGCCGACACCAGCCGCAGCCCTGTAGGTCACCCCGTGTCCCCAGCCCCATGTCCCCTCCCTGGAGCACCCAGCCCTTCCCTGACTCCCCAGTATCCCACCAGTTGAGGGGTGACACTGATCCTGGGGGGGGGTCTTTCAGTCCACAGAGAGTCATTTGGGGGATGCAGAAGCCAAAGAGGCGTCGCAGGAGGAGGCACCCCCTGAGCCGGAGCCCCCAAACCCCTTCAGCCAGCTCACCGACCAGGAGCTGGAGGAGTACAAGCAGGAGGTGGAGAGGAAAAAGCTGGGGCTGCAGGGTAGGAGGGGGTACGGGGGGAGCCCTGATCCCAAATCCCCCTCGGGGTTGGCACCCAGTGGATCTCGGGGCCAGCACGTCTCTCCTCTGGCAGGCGAGAAGGATGCTGCTGCGGCAGAGGAGAACCAGGCTCCCCCCGCCAAATCGCCCCCCGCATCCCCACCGCAGAGCCCGGCTGCGGCACCGCCAGAGACCCCGGCCCCGACGCCTGCGGAGCCCTCGGAGGGTGAGTGGGCTGGCGAGAGCCCGGGGCCGCCAAAAAAAAAGTCACCAGTGAAGGGATGAGGGCGGCTGTAGCCAAACTGCTGAACACACAGATAAATGTCACCCCCCGGGTCCCTTTGCCTGTCCCCAGGGGGGTCCCCGCTCTGGTGGGGCTGAGCACCGATGGGGATTCACACCGCAAAGGCACTAAAAAGCCACCAGTGGCTTTGAACATCGTGGCAGGAGGATGCAAACATCCGTTGGTGGCTTTGCGGGGTGGCAGGGGACACCTCTGTCCCCTCCTAAATGCGATATTCCCATTATTTTATGTCCCCAAGTACAAATTTGTCATCTACAAACCGTGGCGGGTCTCAGGGTGTGGGAGAGGGGCAGAGGGAGCGCGCGGCTTCTCGCTTTCTCATGGTGTCTCATGGTGTCTGTCTGTCTGTCTGTCTCTGCAACGTCTTCCTTTCTCTTTCCTCCACGTGTGGCTTTCACCCAAGGAGTTACCTCTGACTCTGAATACTTGTCACCGTAGTAAGTACAGAGAGGCTCGTCCTCTGAGCCTCGCTGTGGGATGAGGGACGCGGGTGACCGCGCTCCCCGTTAGCTCGGGGTGACTTTGCTCTCTCCGTGGCTCATTCCGGATGCGCTCCGGTGGGGAGCGGTGCCTCGCTCAGGGTTTTGAAGAAGGAAATGCCTTGGGTTGTTGCCTCGTTTTCTTTGCTGCTTGTTTTATTTCCAGCAGCGAGGTCGGGATGGAGCCAGCTGCCCACCCTGCCTGCCTCTTCCCAACTCTCCATCCCACCGTCGCTTGTCCCGCGGGGAGGGAGGGGAAGGCTCAGGAAAGTGTTGCCTGTGGCAGGAGGGGATCGAGTCCCAGCGCTTTCCAACCGCAGGGGCCAAATCCTGCTCCTGCCCAGGTCAAACCAGCGAGTTGGGGGAGATTTAAACCTCCACAGCGCTGGCCACCACCACCCCAATCCTCACTTCTCCCTTTTCCCCTTGCCAAGGTGACAAGAAGGCGGATGGTGGCCAAGAACCGGCTGATTCCACCGCCGAGAAGGAGCCGCCGCCGGTGGTGAACGGGAAGGATGAGGAGCAAAGCACTGAGGAAAGCTTGGGCAAAGGAGGGGACCGGACAACCACCCCTGCCAACGCTGACCAGGACACCCCCAAAGAGAAAGAGACGGTGACCAGCAGCCCCGTCTCCCCTGAAGGTTCACCTTCTAAATCACCCTCTAAAAAGAAGAAGAAATTCCGGACCCCATCTTTCCTGAAAAAAGGCAAAAAGAAGGAAAAAATTGAATCTTGAGTCTCCTCCAAGGCCTCCTGCTGCAGGAGCAACCGGGCACCTCTCCGGATGGAGACGTCGAGGTGGAGGGACGGCTCCTGCATCGTGCGTCTGGCCGAGGCGCAGCCGAAAACAAAACCAAACCCCCAGAAAGCGAGTAGTTTTCTGGGTACTCCTGGCACGAGGCACCTCCTCCCCTGTCACCTGCTTTTTGGAGGCGGTCACCGAGCTTCTGAAAGATTGTGGCCCCCGTTTGCCGCTTGGGGAAATACCCGCTGCGATCTCCCTCCTCCCATGAATTCTCCTTTCTCCCACCTGGACACCAGCCCCTTCCCACACATGTGCTAAGCTTTTTGGAGGCGGTCACCGAGCTTCTGAAAGATTGTGGCCCCCGTTTGCCGCTTGGGGAAATACCCGCTGCGATCTCCCTCCTCCCATGAATTCTCCTTTCTCCCACCTGGACACCAGCCCCTTCCCACACATGTGCTAAGGGTTGG